ATCCATCTATTCTATCCATCTAACCATTTATCCATCTATCCATACCTTGGGTACAGACATCCTCACGTCCTGAAAGCAGCTGCTCCTTCCTCACCTGGAACTCTCCTCTTCATTTGGTTCCTAGCCCTCCTGCATTTCTACCTTTTCTACCTGGCTGCATTGTCTGCTGTGTGTAACTAGCTGCAGGCGCCATGTGTTTTGTAATTTCCTTTGCTCCTCGGATTGTTGCCACTTTCTTGGCTTCTCTTTCAAAATTCCAAGTCCATTGACCCACTGACACAAACTAATCTCTCACTCAGACAGCAAACAGAATGTGTGCGAAAAATACCATATGTGCACTAATCAAAAAAGTGGCTTAAAAAGGCAGTAGAATACCTAAGGTGTTGGACCATTCAAATCTAGCAATTAAAGATTGTAAAGATATTTTGAATTCCTACTCAAAGGCAAGTAATAATACCAATTATTTAAAACTACAAAGGATCTAAATATAAAGTTATTTTGAATGAAATAACTTATTTTTTAAAGAATCTAAAATAATCATACATTTTTAAAAAAGTTAAAATGTGTAGGTTTTTGTGGGAGTTAAGGTGTTTAGTATTTTTTGTCTCTGATAATAACATAAACGCGTAAGATAAGATTACCCATAAGGTAAACAAAAAATACTTTCTATATGAATTGTAAAATTCTATACATAGGTCTAGCGATAAGAATAGTTGACGAACTTCATGTTCCCTTGTCAAGCAATTGATGTTAAATAAATACATAAAATCTTGAAGCTTAATAATTGATAAATATTCTCTTAGATGTGAAATAAAAAAATAATATATAACTCTTATATAAATGTATTTAAAATAATTACTTAATATTATTAAAAACATTTTCTTCGTGTGCAGTGCTCGTCCTATCCAATTGTAAATTAATTTCAATTTTATTTCGAAATGTAAAACAATTAAATTTGACAAAATGCGCGTAGTGAGTGTGAATGGGATGCGTGTGCCTGCTGGGCAATGGTCAATGGTCACTACCCACTACCAACCGGCCACAACTGAGTGGAAAAACTCAAATGAAATTTAATTAGTGCCAAAATGTGGATACGTTTTTCACTAATGACACGGCAAACCAATTTACTTGCCGCCCCAACACGTCCGTCCCTCATTATTGCACGGATATTTACTAGCATTTTATTTGTGTTCTGTGGCATTCATGTTGGGCTGGGGGCGAGATGACCCTATCATTTTAATTCATTGCGTTTGCCAATTCATTTGTTTGTCGTGAAAACTTTTCGGCAGTCGACCGGTGGGCGGTCCGAAATTCGCTTGTTTGCCGGCTCTGAGCAAGCTTATCATTGATTTTATTGGCATAATCAGCGTGAAAATTTGCGTTACGAACTTTTTGGCAAGCGGCCACGCCCCCGAATGCGATAAACATTTATCTTCATTATCAAATTTGCGGCATCCCGTTTTCGGCCGAAGCCAAGGATTCATTTACCACCTCCTCGTCCTGTTGTCAGTTGGGCCCTCTTCTTTTTTTTTTTTTTTGTTTTTTGTCGACCGCCTTCGCCATCATCATCACCGTTGGCAGCTTAATGAAAAACTTTTTGCCTCTCGCGCATAACCCTTTTTAATTTTTATTAAGCAGAAAATTGCCTGCCGGCCAGGGTCCTTCGCCTCGAAGGTCCTTGGGGAGGGGCGGTACGGTACAGCGAGGAAAAACTGTAAATGGAAAGTAGCATAAAAATAACAACAGGCCAAGTGCGTGGCCTTGGCTTCGCGGACTCTCAGTGGCCCTACCACAGCAAAATAAATTCGAATATAAGAAGTAAACCCTCAAGGTCTTGGGGGATATATAATGGGAATTCTGAAATTATGGTTCTTTTAGTACCCTCAAGGGAGAAATGCCATTTAAGCTGAATACGAGGAGTTTACAATACTTAAATTTATTTCGATTAAGGTGGACAACATTATTACCAAAATATTTAACTTGTTAAATATTTTATATAATATGTTGAATTACAATTTATTTGGCTATATGATGAATAAGTTAACACAAAAAACTCTTTTGTTTTCCAATTTAAGACATTCTGTCTTCTACAACCATGGTATCTAATAATTTGATAAAGGACTATAAACCTAAGGTCTCCTTTAGTTTCCAACTGTAGCGTGCCTAATTTTCCTTGTCGCTTGGCCTAAACCCGATTATATACCCCGCTTCGGTTTTGGCCACTTTGCTTTATCAACTTTTGCCTTGTTTATTTTGCTTCGCATTTTTTGCGTTGTTGTTCTGGTTATTCTCACAAAATCTTTGGGCAACATTTTAAGCTGATTCGCAGAGCCCGGGGGCGGAGCGCCCCAAAGGGGGATGGGGGAATCTGGGAAAACAAATTAGGAAAAAATAATTGCTTTCTTATTAGCCCGAGCTCGCTCGAAATATTTTCAATCAATGACGAGGATGAAACACAAGGACATGGAAACGGAAATGGAAATGGAAAACGGACGCTGTTGACGGGCAGCATTTCCCATTTTCCATTGGCTGCACGTGTCGCCTGTTTGCAGTTCATTATTGCTAGCTCATTCATCAGTTGATTGTGTTGCTATTGCATGCACAATGTACATGCCTTGATGCCACAATGAATATTTAAATAATTTCCTGCTTGCCATCATGCATAGTTTTTTTAACCACTATTTTTTTTTGTCAGCATGCAATTTAATTACACGCTTTTGTGAAAAACGATTCTTTTGCCCCTGGTGCTTCAGTCGCTGGGACAAAGTGTGTGTGTGTGTGCTAGTTAATTAAATTTTAATTTTATGTGCCATTAAAATATTTAACCAAATTTAGCAGAGCTTAATAAAACGCTTAATGGTTTATTTAGTTTGGCTAATTGAAATCATTTGCGGCCCACGTGCCGTATGAGTAATGACCGGGCATTAGAAAACTTGCGTGTTTATTTGTCCTGACATATTAAAGCGATTAAAAGCATAATCAATTATACATTTATAATTCGCACATGCACAAAAAAAAAGGGAAAATGGGGGAAAAACGCCAGGGGAAGAAAGTGGAGAAAGGAGGAGAAAGCAGAAGGGAAAGCCTTAACACAGCAGGCAGCCTCTTTGTCGTTTTGTAAGCAACAAATTTGGCCACGCTTGCTTATTTAGTTAATTATCGCAGATTACTTGCTCTTGATTATTTTGTACCCATGCAGGATATCTCTCTCTACAGTTTCCCGACTTTTCCCCGGGGGCTGTAAAGTCAGCAACTTTGCTTGCTGTTGCTGCTGTCTGGTTTTCCGGCTTGGTCCCGTCATGTTTACTTATTTTGACGCAGCATGTGGCAACTGCCAGCGCAGCTCACAGCGGGCCAATGCCAACTTGGATTTTCTTAGCTGACAAACGGAAGGACACTTGGCCCAGAGACTCTACTCCTCCAGCTCCTCCAGCTACTCCACCTCCTTTGGCTGAAATTGAGTCTGCTGTGGCTTTCGATTCATTTGTAGCGTCGCCATATCAACAATTAAATTAAACGTGTTTGCCCTACCCAAGCGAGCTTAAGCGTTCAATCAACGTTTGGCCTTTTGGCCAAGGAGTTTGGGTTGGCCAAGGTGGGATGCTCTACAAGGCTATTCAATGCACGTGCGGCATTTTAAATTACTAATTACTCGTGTTTCAGGTAACATTTGCTTTCACCTGCTTCACTTGCCTGGCCTCGCCCCTTTTTGGTCACATAATTAGCTGCAGCTCGCAAAAGGGACTTGCTGGCCAAAAACCAGCAAAAAACCAACAACGTGCTCCCGAGCAGAAAAGTCCTTTCAGAACACCAGAGCTCATTGTGCTGCTTATTAGACCAGCTGGCTAAATAAAACTCCTATGAAATATGAATTTGTGCAGCTTCGTCTCGACTCTCTCACTCGGGGGGTTTTAAAGTTTGTGGATTTAAAGGTGGCCGATTTGTCAGTCTGTTGGCTACATATTTCGCCGGCAATTGCCGTTCCACCGATTTCGTTTGCAGCCACGTATTGCGGTCAACATTAACAGGCCTGCGAAGAAGTCATTATCGAGCTTTGGAGCTGGCCAAACATCGTTTGGGGGCACTATCGATTATATCGATTGCATTAATCGGGGACTTTAGATAATCCTATCGATTAGCCTATCACCTCTAAGAGCAGGCTTTATGAAATCTATTTCAGTTCAGTTGAAATTAGATTCCTGTTTTGATTGTTAATTCAAAGCGTTCACGTATTAATTACTCTTGACTAACAAAAATTAAAGAAATTCATGTTAAAGGCACGAATTACTATTTTAAATTAATAAATTTTAAAATTGTTAAATTAAAATTCGATAAGGCGACTTTTATCAAAAAGCAACATTGAATAAATACCTTAAAAGGTTTGAAAAGGGAAAATATACAATTGAAAAGGGAAAATAAAAGAAGCGATAAAATTCTAAGAATTCTGTTAGCTCTTTTTAAGGTGCTTTTGAGTTTGAAGAGATAAGTTAAAGATTCCAAGCAATTTACAAAGTAAAATTATGTAATAATCTTTTAAGTCCCTGATTTTTTTAAAGTTTTTACTATCGATTAAGTCGTCTTGCGTAGTCTGCCATCCCTAATCAACGGCAGCAGCGTCATCATCATCAACGCAGGGCAACGCTGAATCCCAACTCGAACCCAAACCCCAACCCAAACTCAATTCCCAATCCCATCATGGAGCTGACCATCCACTTGCACACGGTGCAGTGCAAATAAATACGCCGGCTGCAGTTGCAACGGCGACCCTAACCGTTTGGATGGCCCGTTGCAAATGAGCGGCAATAAACGCCAAAAGCAGAAAATTCAAGTTAATTACGTTTTTCAATTAAGCACTGGCTCGCCGACTGCAACCCCCCTTTTCCCGTTCCCTGACCCCTTTTTTGCCACGCCCCTTGGTCATCGGGTAATGGTAAAGTCACCCAGTCAACGATGGGTTGGAAACAACAATTTGGCATTGAAATTGAATTGATGTTGCAAGCTTAAATCGAAATCACTTTATTATTTCCCTTGGCCAGGAGTTCCAACCGATCGGCACTCGAGTTTGGTAAATGGAAAAGGACTTGCAGGACCCTTGAAATGGTATACGGAAGTTCAAGTCCTGATCAGCTTTGCAAACTGCTCTGTGGTTCCATATTTCCGGCCATCAAGGGATTATTGGGGGGGTGTATTTTATTGCTCTGCTGTGAAAAATGTATTCCAAATTGACCACCGAATATAATTCATCATTCATGTGTCCAAACTGACACGTCTGTGGCCGCAAACAAAAATGAAATTCACTTTGTTTGCGGTTTGCCAATTGTATAAAGTAAGCTTCGTTTTATTTGCTATGCTCTTTGCTTAACCATTTTTTGTATCCTCTTCTTTTTTTTTTTTGATTGGGTTTGGCGCTTTGTGGCATGAAAAATTCATGGTGCGCATTTTGTATGGGCCTAGAATTAATCAGGAAAATATGCGGCCAAGTGGAAATTTTTGTAATCATCGCGGTTGGCAGTCGATTAGCAGGATATTCCAGGTGGAGCAGGGATAGCTATCAAGCTAGGCTAATAACTCGCGTTGGTTGGCATTAAAAATTTATACAATTTTAATTTTTAAATAGGCTAAGGCTGAAGGCAACTTGAGTGGAGGGGAATCCATTGCCCCCCTGCCCACTTACTTTCCTCCTCCTTTTGGCCACTGAAGCCACTTGAAGCCGTATAAATCCAAGATTGTGGCCGCCAACTTGTCGCATATGGGATTGTGTGTATGTGTGTGTGTGTGGGTTAGAGTCCTTGTGTGTGCTCCTCGGGGTGTGTGTGAGTGAGTGTGGGTATGTGCGGTTGCTATCTTGACTTCATCCTTGACTGGCAACTGGGGGCTGGTCGCTTCTCGCTTCTCTGGCTTTGACTGTAATTGAAGCAAAATGAAAATCTTTTATTCATGAGGCTATAAAATTGCCCAATTTTCAGGCCATTAGCAAAATTTACGCCTTTTTCTCTGCACGCAGCGCATAGTGGCCATTAAATACAGTCGCCTGCATAAGTATGCATGCCATGACTCCATCCATGGGCGTTTAGATTTCATTTCCCACTCATCGCGTCTGATGCTTGGGTTTGTTTTCCTTTCTTTTTCTATATATTTTTGGGGTTCTATTTTTAAACACGACGAAGACACACCTCTCAGCCGTCGAGCATCATCATCATCATCATCTAGCTCATCTCATTTGCCTGGCACAACGCGGCGTATGCTTGATTTCTGTCTTGCTGCCTCTTGACAGGACCTCCGACGACGTCATCGCCCTAATCCTATTAGGCCCGCCTCGCTTGTATCGAAAGCAGCTTAGACATGTCAACGTTGTAATTAAAAGCAGTTGAAAACATCAGACTCTGTCGTCTCGTTCGTCTTGGCCGAAAATGCTGCCAAGTCACGCGTTTCCTGTCGGCTTTCCCAGCTGGAAATACTCAGCCATACTCAGCCTGCCTGCGAGCCCCACTTTTCTGGCCAATTATTATGTTAATTTTATGGTCAAGTGCCGCTCTCATTGAGAGTAATTAAAGTGCAGCCATCGAGCTGTGGAGCCAGTGTTTTCGTTTCACTAATTAGTTTGTTCTAAGAAACATATTTGCATGGCCCTGATTGTTTTCCCTTTAGAAGTATACAATTCTATGCCTTGTGGAGGCTGGGATTAACCGATTAATCCGTTTGCAATTAAAATTGCGCAGGGGTGAGTGGAGCTGCATTGGCAATGAATCCAGCTTTGTCTGAACTTGACATTCCGGCGACTGGATAATACCCAATAGGTTTTCAATTTCAATTTTCCAGCTATTGAGTTGGCACACACGCAGCAGCAGCCTCCTTCTTCGTCGCATTTGTGTTTTTACGGGAGTGCATATGGCTCACACTCCTCCATTTTGCCTTGCCATTCAGTCTGGGCCTACAGCTCGGAGCAGTGTCAGCGCTTTATGGTCCTTTGATTCCAGGAAAACTGCAGGAAGCACAGAAAAAAACAGATCAATATCCGATCGATTTTGAAATGTGAAATCAATTTAAGGTGCATATAAGGTAGATTTCTTTATACTGCGTTTTTAAAATCATTTTAAAGGTGACTAAAAGTATGCAATCTTTTTTTTTATAAAGGTATATTAAAGCATGCAATTTGTATTTTTATAATAATGTATCAAGGTGTCTAAAAATATGCAGCAATATATTTTTCAAATAATTCATAAAGTGTCTAAAAGTATGCAACAATATATTTTTAAAATAATTCAGAAAGGCGTGTAAAGATATGCAACAGCACATTGCTATTTTTGATACCGTTTATCAGATAGATTTATTTTGAAAAACTTAAAATTCATCATATCAAACACATTTTCTTTCCGTGTGCGGTTTGCATCGGTTTCAGTTCCACTTTAATCGAATTTTCCCCCCAAACCAATAGCTTTTCAATCTCGACTTCGTTTAGCCACATTAGGTATTCACACACGGCTGGGGCCACCCCAGATATATTACTTATAAATAAACAGCCGCAGGCATTCACAGCAGACACGTTGGTCAGCTCGGGCTTAATAAATATTTATGAATTCCCCTGAGCAGGCGAACTGCAGGCGATTCCTTTGCACCGGTTAGTTAGCAACCGATGTAATCCGGCCATCCCGGCACATCTCGGACACATCCCGACACATAAGCTTAAATTATATTCAATTCAGTTAGAAATCAAACAACAATGGACAGCCGTAGCATTCGCCATGGCCATGTTCAACATGCAAACAAATGGTCGAAAAAAAATGTTTGTTCGCACACAAACAGGACACACTCAAAGCGGAAGTATATAGGGGCATTTAAATATGCAAAGGAAGTGTGCACTTAATTTGTGCCATCCTTGTTGTTTGCCCTTGCCTCCACTAGTTGTCATCCTGGCCGCTGCCTTTGCTTTTGTTTGTGTGGCCAAAAGAGGGGGAAAAAAAATAGAAATCCAAAAAAAGGAGGAAAATAGCAGATGAGCAGCGAAGGGCCAAGCGCTGATCTGACCAAAGAGCACAATATTCCAGCTCAAACACAAATCCCAACTAATGTGGGCCAAAAACTTTTGCGTGCCCACATGGGCCAGCTGACTCTGTTGACTGTTTAGTGGACGGACAGACAGGACATTCTGGACACACAGGACATTCTGGACATTCCGGACAAGTGGACTCGCGGACAGCTTTGGTGGTTAGAATGCTGGCCGTGGCCCGTTGGCCATGTGCCATGTTCCATGGAGAAAAGTTATCAGCGTTTCGCAGAAGAACGCCCCATTTTACCGCCCCCCCCCCCCCCAGTCCATCTGACAGTTTTAATTGCCTTGAATGTTTGCAAATTTCTTACGATGGGGGGGTGAAAATCGTTGTAGCCTGCGGTTGGCGAGACAGACAGACGCCGCCGCTGCTCGAGGATCTTGAGCTGCCCCCCCCTCAAAAAACTTTATTTTTATACTAAATGCTATTGCAAAAGTTTTCAGATACATGCTCCAGATGAAGTGACTTTACAATGGGGTAAAGGCAAATTAGCTGCACCAGCTGCACTTGGCTATCAAATCAATGGAAATGTAGCAATCGTTTTCATTTGACAACATTACTAGTTAAATTCTGGCATTTTTCCTGACGCACTGCGTCACTGGGGATCATTAGAAATTATTGATTGACTGGCAAACAAGCTTCTGCTTTCCTCTACCATCCTTTCGTATCCTTTTCCGTAGATAATTCTATTGTTTTTCTGCCACAAACCGCATGCATCAGGGGCATGAGTTTGGTGTCGGTGTCCCTGCTGCAGTGGCAAGCTCATCAGAATGCCAGCCAGAGCAGCATCATCATCATCGCTTCTCCCTGACTTTGGTTTATTGATTTCACAATGCAGCAGGATAGCAGACACTCACATATGTACCCCTCCTAACCATACCCCTATAACCATATAAGCATTTCGACCCCCAACAACATGTGAGCAAGGACACATGTCGAGCACCTTGCGGTTTATCCTGTTTCCAGGTCCTCGCCGATGTGACTCCAATCCACAAGCTTATTACCTTGCACAAACGTTGTTTAAATAACCGACTACTGGGCTCCACAGCTCGAGGGCAATGTAATTAAGTTTTAATCAAACTTTAAGGCATTGCTCATCCGCCGTGTATGCCAGAGCAGCAGCCGTTGAACAGCAGGGCAGGAAAACAAAAATAAATGGCCGAGGATGAGGCGGGCAGAAGACAAATGTTTGATCATTATTACGCTACCATAAATAAAGCCAGACAGGGATGGAAACTGAACCGAGTCTGGATGGCGAATTCCAGCACCTTTGGCCAGCTGAAAAGCGTAAATGATGATGGCCAAGACGGGGGGGGGGGGGCTGGCCAGTCCAAAGGACCACCGCTGAATAACTGCGATTAAAGCGAGCAACAAAACAATTATTGAGGATTTAATTGCTCGACAGAATGTAATTAAGCAAAGGTAGCACGCTCCACTCCCCGTTTGCAACCCACTCCCGAGATTTCCGTAGATAAACCACAGGAGCTCTCCATCTCGGAGTGTTTCCGATGTGGTCCCTGTGGATCGGAGGGCATTAAATGCAGAGGGTATGCCATCATCAGACTATCCATATGACATTCTGGCAACCGTAAGCGACTGAAGAGGCCTATTAAAGCCAGCCAGCCAGTCTTCAAAATCACTTTGGCTGACGCATTGGCAACAGCTCTTGGCACTTGCTTCCGGTCCAAAATGCTTTTGCCCAGTTCAAAACTTTCGAGCAAGTTTCAATTTATTAACGAAATAAAATGCAGATAAATGTTGAGGGGATGGGAAGGGAGATGGTGGCCATAAGGAGGCTGTGGGAAACGCCATAAGCCGCAGTCGGTGTCAAAACTTTTGATGGCCTCGTCAAGTTTCCGGCGAGTTGAAAGTTCACCTGTTAAGTCGAAATAGAGGTGCAGCCCACCGCAAATATCCTTCCTGGCCAGGCCTTTATTTTCAGCATTTCTAGTGTTGTTTCTATATTGGCCAGTTGCGGGGCGTTAGGCATCAATGACAGCGAAATTGCGGAATTTTATTTGTTACGCGCCCGCGATTTTCAATGCAATTCTCACTACTCACAGGCCGAGGAACAGAGCAACGTACACAGCACTATACAGCAATATACAGAACAACATTCAGCAGACACAGAAGCACATGCAATCGCGTTTCATTGCATATATCTGTCTGCGCTGTGAATTGAAATTTTTTCAGCGCCCCGCCGTTCTTTCTATTTATTTGCAGGTTTTTTCCTTTTTTTTTTTTTGCAAACGGTCGTCGGGGCTCCAAAGTCAGAAAGGAACATATTGGACTGAAAGAGCAGGATCAAGGCTGCAGGCGGCAATAATGTTCCGTGTTTGCCAACACGGTCAGATGGCCAAATTGCTGCTGAGCCACATTCCATTCTCGATTTCAAAGAGGTTTTTTAAGCTGTTTAATAAAGCCTTGTGCTTCTTGAGAACTCCTTAAAAATTGTTTATATGTGACTTTTTTTGAATTTTTTGTTGGATGACCAATAAATAAAAACAGAAACTTTAAATAATTAATTTTGGTAAAAATATATATTTAAATTGAATTTTTTAAATGAAAGGAAATATTAAACTGCCAATTATAACTATATGGATGAAAATAAAAAGTAAAACATCGAATTTAATGTATAAAGCTAATAAAAGATAAATATTTATATAAAAAAAATTTTAAAATGTGATTCATGAAAAAATATAATGTTAGTTAGTTAACTTTAGCTATTTTTAAATTTAACTAAGAAGATTTAAAACAGAAATCAAACACTTAAGTTGTTCAATGTAATATTTGTTTAATTATTGAAATATTGGCATACTTCAATTAATAAAAAATTTTTTTTATTAGTGAAAGATTTGTAAAAATTATCTGCCAATTAGCAATATTTTATATACATTTGGGTAGCTTTTTGATTCATTAATAGGCTATAAATGTCACTCAAAGTATTTCCCAAGGATTTCGATTTAGAATATTTTGGTACTCGCTTTCACTTAGAGCACTTTCACATTCTGACGACTCAGGAAATTGGTTTACCCAGCCTGCAGGCGATTTACATGTGCAGCCAAAGGATTCGCGCCAGTATGTCCTTGATAGACAGCTGTCTGTGTGTCCGCTGTCTGCCTGTCAGTGTGTCTGTTTGTGCAACTGTTTTGGGTGACGCCGCTTGCATAGGAATGAGCAATGAGTTGGCAAAGTTTTTCGATTAAAGTTCATAATTACACTTACGAGTGCAAGTAATGCCCGCTGCTCACTCACATATGTTGATTGCCAAAGTAGTTTTAATTGAAAATCTTTAGGAATTCGGATGCAATGTTATTTTTGACCCGGCAAAAGCTTTCGAAATTCCATCATTTACGTTCGTAGACACGGCGCCATCTAAACTGTATATCTACATCGGGATATCAGAGTGCACATATGTATATCTACACTTAGACTGACATTGCATTGATGGCTTTACTTTGACTTTTTTGCAGCTGTGTACTACTCTCTCTGTGTGTCCCAACATCCCAAGCCACGCATTTATTTCAATTCCTGCGACTGTTTAGCCATTCTTTTCCATCCCAGACAGGATGTCTCCATGCGAGTGTGGGTTCTGTCTCGAACTTGCTTGAATGACTCAAATATTTTAAATGTCTTTGTCTGACTGACTGACTCGGTAACTGGCTCAGTGCGTTGTCAATCATGTGCATCGCTGGCTTTACGGCTCTCGATGCCATCGGGATGTCAGCCACAATGGCAAATAGCGAATGTGGAAAATGGAAAATGGAAAAACTCCGTAAATACTTTGTCTAACTGATAAGCACAGTTATCTGCTCGTGTTCATCTCGGTGTAGTTTATGGCTCTATTAGGCCATTTGTTTACCTCCCTCAACGGGGGGCTCTGAAAAATTATTTAACATGCAAGGCAAGCGTGTTTGCTGCCTGTTTGTTTGCC